TCTCTCTCTCTCTCTCTCTCTCTCTCTCTCTCTCTCTCTGTCTCTCTTTCTATCTCTCTCCCCGTTTCACTCTCCTTCTTCTCCCTTTCTCTCGCATTCCGTTTTTTTTTTCTTACTCCTCGGGTCGTCCCTCCCCACCCACCTTTCTTTTTTTCTTTTGTTTCTCCCGCGCACTTTTTTTTTCTCCTTTTCTGCGGATTCACCGCGTTTTTCTCGTTTTCTCGCTGCTCGCGTCTCTCCTCTCTTTCCAACCGTGGAATTCCTGCTTGTTCCACTGCGAGAACTTCTTGCTCAACTTCGCTCTCCTCATGCCGACTTCTGCTGCTGCTACTCCTCGCTGCTACTCCGACACACGGCCTACGTGCTCGTCGTCGTCGTCGTCGTCGTCGTCGTAGTCGTTGTCGTTGTCGTCGTTGTCGTCATCGTCGTCGTTCTTTCTCTCCCGGCGGATCGCGGCTTCGTCCCCCTTCCCCTCAGCGTCTCGAACTGCGACGCTGCTACACACGATCCACGCTGTCTCTTGGCTCGGGTCCGGGCCGCGAAGATGAGGTGGCCCCGAAGACGAACACCGAACGGGAGGGTGGAGGTGCTGACAGTGGCGTAAGTAACGAAGGATCGTGTAGATCGCGCGATATTGCCGCCAACAGGACCGCGAAATGGAATTCTAATTAGGTGGGGCCTGCTCGTTACCAGCCCACGAAACGGGACGGCCAGCCCACGGGAATCCGAACGACCCGGCTAATTTGTACACGATCGTCGAGTTATTGTACGCTTTTCCATTGTATCGTTGTCAATAGAGGATGACTTTTTGAAAGGGATTCGTCGAAATCTGTTTTCTATTTAATAGGAGGGGGAAAAAAGGGCTCCCCCTATTCGGTAGCGCCTTTTGTGGTTGCTTCACGCTTCGCTTCTTCCGTGGAATATTTTTCAAGCCCGAAAACCAGGCGCGGTGAACGACGTAAAGGAGCGACGAGTTTGGAAAGGGGCCATGCGTCTCCATTATTGCTATTCGTCGCGAGAAACGGTTCCCCGTGTCACGTTCACAAGGGCCATGTAGAATTTTATCTACGTCAGTGAGCAAAGAAAGGAGATGAGGTGGTAAGCCCACTCGACTCGTTCCACCTCTCCTTTCCTGCTTCTCGGTTTCCTTCGCACGGCTCGGCTCGACCACGTGCTAACTTACGAGCTACGATCTCTGTACCCTTCCACCTTTCTTTCCTCTTTTATCTTTCTCGCTAGCCGTCCCGTTTCTTTTTCTCTAACCTGATCTCTCTCTCTCTTTCTCTCTGTCTTTTTACCTTTCCGTGAGGGAGCACGGCTCCCTCTTTCTCTTCCTCTCTCGGCTTCTTTTCTCTTCTTCTCTTTTATCTCTGTTTGTCTTTTTTGCCTCCCCTCTGTCTCTCCTTACAGTTTCGAACCGAGCTCTGCGCCGTTTCTCGCTTTTTCGCTCCCCTCGTCGCTTCTCCTCGGATTATTAATCCGGCGACGAGAGAGAGGATCCGTGGCGTTCGCGGAGATTACGGGGCCGAGAGCACGGCCAAGGTGCTGCTACGTTAACAAGCATCAATAGACCGAAAGAGGGGGCGCAGGGATCGTAAAACGTGATTCCGTGGATGAAGGATCGCGCCTCCCTCTGTCCCTTTATCTATCGCGATATCCCCCCGAGATAAACTAGCGAAAAAACTGGTGTACTATACATTTCGCAGCTGTGAAAACTCACTTGGATTCGCTCCGATACGACTTCAAAATCACTTCTGTCGTGTTTGGATCGTGTTTCATTGTGTTTCATTTCACTTGGATACCGAATGGATGTTATCTGCTTCTAAATTAATGCAAATAGGTATAATTTATTTGGGTAGAATTTATTAATTAGATTGTCCTAGATTATTTCTAGATTATAGGTCAATTTTTAATTATTGGGAATATGTAGTTTATAAAAAATATAAACTAATGGTTAATGAAAACATAAATATTTTTTATAATTATTGGAAATATCTTTTTCATTTTAGAAGAAAATATATCATCGCACGAAGTATATAGGGAAAGAATAAAATTATTGAGGAAAGAGAAATGGAGAAATTCTTATATATTAACTTAATTCTTAATTATCATCGAACAAAGAGTTAGTTCTCTTCGGAATTAAATGGTGGAATTTGAAAATGGAAAGTAGGATCTATTTCTATTAATCTAGATAAAGGAACATCTAGTTACTTTCTTAATATTCAAATTCTTTGTTTCATTACTCGCCAGTAGGTATTTCTATGTGAAAGTTGATTAAATTTTTCAGAGTGATTTAAATATTCTCGAAGAAGTAGGTACGTAACAGTTCGAGGCATACGATTTCTAAATTCTTATGATACGAAGTTTCATATTTAGCTCATCTACAACTTGAAACTTAACTTATATAAATTCTCGTGATAGAGATGCAGTGTACGCCAAACTTATGTTCTGTAATCATACTCCAATTATCGTGTCCATCTAATACGAACCAAGAGTAGGCAAAAACTAATTTAATGTCGTCATTCATCATTTTAACCTACTATTAAGTATTACTTGACGCTCTAGCTATAATGCTAGATAATTTTTCACAGTCAGGCTCCAATTTTCCACCTGATTCTATCAGCGTACATCTTCTCGGATTTCCCTGTCATTAACACGATTCCACCCATACTCATTCCCTTTCGTTCGCTCTTCACATTCCAGTCATTCGCCTCCTTACCATCACAATATCCATAGAAACTTGTAAATTCGAAGCAAACCTGTTTCAAAGGAACAGTTCAGTCAGCTCCAATATTCAAATTGTGCTCAAGTGGCAAAGTTTAATGCAACACTGTAGAAAGTGTGCAAACTCATAATTTT